GCTGCATGCGAGGTGCTGCCACGGCCTGAATGTAGAAGGCCATCTAACACAATCACCCACCCCACGCCGTCCAGGCGGCAAACCACCCAAACCTATACCTTTTAGGGTTTAGGACCTAAACTCAGTTAGGTCCATCTTGGTCAACAACAACATTTTTTCATTTGTGTACGCTGAAGGTTCTGAGAGGCTAGCAACCTTCTGAAGGAATGGAGGCCTTGCAGGCTTGTGGAAGGTTCCTGTCGGGTGTGGAGGAGGCCCTCGGAGGAGGCCCCGGAGAGGGAGGAGGAGGCCCTTGCAATAGGCGTCCTGGCAAAGGCCTTTGGAAAAGGCCCCTGCAAAAAGTTTCTGGAGGAGGCCCCTGGAGGCTGGAGGCCTGCCTGTGGCGGTCCACCCTGGAAAAAACCAGCCAGCCACGCCCAGAGCTTCGACCACTAGGTTTAGGGTAATGACTGCAAAAGGGACCAGTACTGGTCCCGAAAAAAACTCCTCCAGGTACCTGGCCTCTCGTGGGTGCTGCAGTACCCCTGGCTGTGGGAAGGCAGGCGANNCGACCTGGATCGACCTGCGCCATCGATGTCGAGGAACATAAGCGCCGCCCACCATCGAAGGTGGGCGGCATGAGTTTAGGGTTTAGGGTTTAAGGTTTAGAGTTTAGGGTTTAAGGTTTAGAGTTTAGGGTCTAGGGTCAAGACCTTCCTGTAAGAATGAAGGACCCCCCGTAAACTTAGAATGGCTTGTGGTTAGCTGGGGAATGAAGGAACGGAAAAGAAGATGGAAAGTATTAGAATGGAGCTATATAGGGACTACTATGAGGATCCATTCGTTCATTCCTAGCTAACCAAAGGCCAGGAAAGGGGAGATAGAGGGTATTTTGGAATTCTACAAAAGCAGACATTATAGCACGACATTTTTGCTTCAACTCTGACAAACCATACCCCAATCCCAATATCGTGGAACTCTCCTCCAGCAGGCCCCACAACACTACATCTTCCTACTCTTCAGGAAAAGCAGTTCACAATCCCCAATTTTCCAACTCTTGAAAAGAACATCCCATGACCCCCACGCAACGAGGTTGTGATCGTAGCTTGTTGGTGCGTTGGGTTGACAGACTAGACGTGTGTGTCTTGCAAGCGTAATCCGAAATCATGGCACTCGCCGTGAATTTCAATGTCACGCAAGAACTTGTATGAAGTAGAAGTCATGAGTAAGTCAGATGTGTGGTCTTACGGGCAAGTGAACTATGTAGACAGTCCAGATCCTTTTAACCCCAAGTTGGAGGACACGGACTGTATGCGTTCTTCACATGCACATGATAATTAACGCGCATCTGACTCACTCATGACCTCTGCTTCATACAGGTCCTTGCGTGACATTTGCATTCACCGCGCGTGCTATGATTCTTGATCATTTTTGCAAGACACCCGTCTTACCTCCGTGCCCCCTGAACCAGCATGACGCGATCGCAACTTCTGTCACCCCCAAAACCTTCGCAAACGTCCTTGACGCGCCCAAAAGCTAGGGACTCCTTTGAAGGGGATACGGAGGCTATATTGGAATACGTGGGACGTGGGATTTGGGGGATAGGCTCAAGGGAAGTTGCACGGTTCAGAGTTTTGGGGTTCTATGGTTGATATTGGTATTTCCATGGCTTTTAACACTAGTAGTATTTTGTTAGTTCTGCTGTTTGAACGGGCTTGTCATAGCGCCCTGTACTCTAAACCTTCAACTTCAACGATACCGCAAAGGCTCCTCAGCTCCTCGCATATGTTTTCTGCTAGACGTGGCCAGGGTTTAGGGTTTAAGGTTTAGGGTTGGGCGCAGTGCTCTGACTGGTCGTCAGTGGGAATGCAGGACTGGCATACAGGGATTCATGTTAGGGATCAAATAGGAGCAGCTATAGTACCTAATTATAGAGACCCTCCCCCCTTATCCTACTAATCACCAGTAACCGTTGAGCGACAGCAATCAGAGCATGGGCATCAAGGATAGCAGGGACTTAAATCACGCTTATGGTTGCAAGAGGCGAAGTGATAGCAGCCAAATCTAGAAATGACTTGGGGCTTACCAAGATCGTCTCAATCTACACCTTGAGAGGAACCTGTGAAAATTCCCTATACCATTACTACCATTTACTACCTCTTTTTAAAGGAACCCCCCTGAAAGACACCCCAGCCTCCATACCATACTAGTTCCAATAGGGAGTGGGGTGTCCATCAGGGATGGGTGGGGGGTCGTTAAGGGGAGGGGGGTTATCAATATTCTCATGATCATCAACCCTTTTTATCCCCTAAACCCTAAACCCTACACCCGTTTGGAGTGCTTCTCATCTCCTGCAATTCTGAGCAGCTGGAAGAGGCGAAGTAGGCGACATGAAGGGACTAGACTACTAAACCTGAGCCTCTAACATCAGGCCAGATTTCAACCACCTCACCCCAAATTATTGGGCAGGTTTCAACAACCTCACCCCCAAATTGTGATTGATGTAAAGAAGTCCCAACATGGCATTACTTCAGCCTTGAAAATGGCACAATTTAGCTAGCACACGCCAAGCCTGAATCAGCAAGCCTTGGACTCTAAGCTCTCAACCACTTGCCTACATGGTAGTTTCATCGACTCCCCCACCCTACGCCCTAACCTGAACTCTAAACCCCAAACCCTAAACCCCCGTTTGGAAGGTGAAGGAGGTCAGGGTCAAAGCCTTTCCAGAGAAGCTCCGCGCCGTGAAGATTACCGAGCGCCAGGCGGTAATTGAGTTTAAGGATTCAGGGTTTGGGGTTTAGGGTTTAGGTTATTGGGGTTATATAGGGATAATGGAAAAGAAAATGGAAACTACATGAAACTACTATAATGGGGTTATATATGGATTATAGGGTATATACTGGGGTTCTCTCGGGATACTGGAAAAGAAAATGGAAACCACTATTTAGGATTTAGGGTTTAGAGTTTGGGGTTTCAGGATGCATAAAATTTGGGTGCATGATATTTCCCTACACAATGGAGAGCTGCATGGGAAAAAAGAAAAACAAATAGATACCGTAGTGCACCATAATAGTACCCAATTTATTTTCCATTAACCCCTATGTATACATGTACACACCCAATAATAATTTTGTAGTTTCCATTTTCTTTTCCATTAACCCCTGAACCCTAAATCCTAAATAGTGGTTTCCATTTTCTTTGCCCTTATCCCAAGAAAACCCCAGTATATACCCTATAATCCCTACATAACCCCATTATAGGAGTTTCCATTTTCTTTTCCATTATCCCTATATAACCCCAATACCTTAAACCCTAAACCC